CTCCCCAAAACCCCAAAACCCCAAAACCCCAAAATTTTAGGGCTTTATTGTAAAATTATATTGTTATGAAGAGAATTGTAGTCTCAAGTTCATGAGCAAAGTCAGGAAAAGGAACACCGATGTTCTCACAGAAGGGCAAAAAGACCATACATGAGTATATGTGATTCAATAAATTAGGACAAAGACTTAATGGGAACAAATAAAGTTAAGATTGAACCAACTTTTGGGCCTTTTAAGAAGAGACCTAAGCAGCAGAAGAAGACTGTAGTTGACACTACTAAAGAGGTCATTGATATCCTTGGTAAAAAGAGAAATATGCTCTTGAATTGTGTCAAAACGAACTAACTCGACTAAGGAGTTTAAGAAATCCCATTCTGGAAGCAAGTTCCATACTAGAAACAACTCTAAAATTGTACTGAACCTGAAAGCCTCTCAAATTCCTCCTTTGGGACATTATAAGCCACACTATAATTTCATCAAGCCTAGAATATCTTCAACTTGATTTTCAAAATCGAGTGCAAGAATATCTATATTTGATCGTAAAAAAGAGGAGATCCAGAGATCAGTCCCAAAAATCTTCTCAAAGCTAAAATTCTTCCTAAAAGATCCTTCTAAACTCCTTGCTCTATCTTCAATGAGTCAATCCTGAGTGATGAATAGGAGCAGAGGGAGGTCTCCCATGGCTAATTCTGTCCTAGCCTACTCAAGGTATGATTACTCCAACCCAGAATCTGATAGAATCAATCAAAAATAGCAGAAGATATTTTAAATATGCCAAGAGGAAAAATAAAAGTAGAACAAACAAACGTAGTAGAAAGAGAAAATGAGTATCTGCTATGAGCAGGAGTAGAAGGTATGTGTCTAGCAGAGGCTAAAGATTATTTTGGTAATAATAACAACTCTAAAATGACTAAACAATATCTAAGCTTATTTTTGTGCTTTATAATTCATTCTAACCTCCTAAATTGTTATTTTTCAAGAAAAATAAAAATAAAATTCTTTGTTAGTTTTTCAATTGTTGTGATAAATCTTGGGGTTTTGGGGTTTTGGGGTTTTGGGGTTTTGGGGTTTTGGGG